TTCGTCCAGCAGCCTCTCGAGGTGGTTGAATATCCCGCAGAAGTTAGGGAGGCTACTCATGAGCTTCTTGTCGTTCATCAACTGCATCAGGTAATCAGGGCTCGGCTTCGGCTTCTCCTTGGTTTCCATTTCCCCAACCATATTCCAAACGAAGGGAGAGAGCGAGCAAGCGCCCGCACCAGCACTCGCCCAACCACCGCACTGGGCGCCCGCCAGGCGGAGAAGAGACAGGGTGTGTGTGATGTGGGCTGGGGGGGAGAGAGAGGCCTCTTCCCCCCCTAAAATTGGGGGAGGAGGAGGGAAACGAGGGAGCGGGGAAATAAGGGGTGCCGTTAACGACGAAGCTACCAGCAGATCCCTCCGAGTCCCGGGCCAAGGAGAAAAATCAGAAGGGGAACCTCAGTGACCGCCACCCCCCAACCTCTCCTCTGCCTCCAAGGAGGGCTGCGCCCTAGTCCTCCGCCGCTCCGCCCGAACACAGATCCTCAGCCGCCGTTTTCTCTCTTTCTTTCCCTCTTCCTGTCTCCGCTCCTACTGGAAAGCCTTCTTCTCCTCAACGCCGTACGCCCGCGGCCGGCACCGTCTTCGGTATTTCCCCCCCGTCCGCCAGCCAACCAGCCAGCCACACACGCAGACGCTAGTCGTGGCTCTTTTTCCTCAGCACCGCTGCCCCCTGCTCTGTCTCCGCGGTGGGAGAGAAGGGAGGGCGGGAGGAAGGCAAGTAAACGGGGTGGAGGGGGCGGGCTGGGCTACTGTTTCCCGAGGAGTCCCCGCTGCCGCCGCTTGGAAGGCTGTTCCCGGCCACCGGTGGTGCTTCTTCTGCCCCTGCTGCCGCTTCTAGCCCTGTTGTCGTCGGTGGTGGTTTAGGTGCCGCCGCCGCCTTGCCTTCTGTCCCGCTGGTGCCGTTTGCTTGTGGCTGGCGAGTCTCAGCCCTGCTGCCGCCGCCTTTCTTCGTCTTCGCCGTCCTCCTCCTCAGTTCGCTCTGGAGTTCGCTTCAGTTCAGGTTGTGCTGGCGGCGGCGGCGGCAGCAAGGAACGGCGATGGGGAGGGAACGGGGGCAGGGAGGGAGCAGCAAAAGAGCAGGGGCGGGGCGGCCGTTAATCAGCGAGCAGCAACGGCGGCGGCGGCGCCACTTGGCAGACCCAGCCCAGCCCGCCCCGCCCCTACGGCTTTGCCTGTGAGAGAGAGACTTGGCTGGCGACCGGAGGGGGAAGCGGAGAGGGGAACCTCTCGGCTCGGCGAACTCGGGAGAACGCGACGGCGTTCTACACGCACGCGCGCCCGTGATATACGCCTGTACCGTGGAGGTGCGGGCGGGCGCGCGCGCACTAATACAAAGACTCGTGTCGTTGCCGGATACTACTGTTCACGCTCGAGACGGTGCCCGTTGACGCGCGTGCGCGCGCTTCCTCTCATTCTCTCTTCCCTCCTCCCTTTCTGAATTTTAAGAAGAAAACGAGTGCGTGAGCGCACGAGACTGAAACTCCAAAAAAAAAATCAAACTCCTTTTGCTTCACCAGTCTTGCATTGGGGCGGGACACAGTCACGTGTTGCTAGTTGAGGGAAGTCCTTGTCGCGCGCTACTACGAAGGCGCATGCGTCAAGTGGGGGGATGGGAGAACCTCGTACGAGGGCGCGCGCTCCCCTTACAATTGTGTCGCGGCGGCCACGGCCCTTCCTCTCTCGAGGTGTAGGAATAGGGGGGCGGGGTTGAAGGGACCACTAAGCGCGTGCGCATAGGGAAAAAAAAACCAGTCCTCCCCTTGCGGAGGAGTAATTTCCTCGTGAGCCTTAACGCGGTCTCGGGGGTAAGGCGAGTAGGGTTTTTAATGGAAACACGGCTTCTCCCTTTGGAGTGGAGTCCGAAAGAGAATTGGGGGGGGGGAAGGAGGGCGGGCCAGAGAAACTGAGGCCCAGTTGCCTGTCTATAAACCCGTAGTGTTAAGTCGGCTCGCCTTGTTCAATCTCCGGCGGCGGGAGTGTGAGGTATGCGTCTTACATGGGGAGAAGGGACAGCATTTCTTCGGACGGGAAGTTTTCGCCCGTTGCCGCTTCAGCGATGAAGCGGCGCTGAACCCCCGACGCTCGCCTCGTCGGCTGGGAGTTCGCCGCCTCTCAGCATTTCCGTGCAGTGACGTGACTGTCTCTCTCCTACAGTCACACAGTTTTTTCCCCTCTCCCCGGCAAGTTTTTTAGCACCTCCTCATTTTTCTTCCCTTCGCCAGAGGCTCCCTCTGGTCAGCTTGGGAAGCCCCTTCCTTTCTTCTCTCCCCTGGCCACTCATTAGCGCTCTTTGCGGCCGCTTCCGAATAACCAGGTGGTTTTTTCCCCTGTTCCGGGTGTTGAAGGCACGGAGGGGGGCTGGCCGCGTGAAGAGAGCCGTTTCTAAGCAGAGCCGCCTGAGGAACGGCCGGCTCCCTCCCCCCCCCTGCTCTCAG